AAGCTAATTTATTCAAAATTGATGCTTGCAACAATTCTTTACCAAGAAATACGTTTATGGTAAAATTTTGGAAAATGGGCGTGGCACCGCCCACTTATGATCACATATAAGTATATCGGTAACCGTTCTACCAATTTGTACCAAACTCGGTATGGTTATTGTACTTGCCACGTGTAAGCAAAACGTTGAAAATTATTGAAATCGGACTAAAATAACGGCCGATTCTCATATAACGTTAAATTTAGAAATGCTTGAAACTTCAATATTTCGAAATTGAATACCGCTAATTTACTCAAAATTGATACACCTCGGCTTACCATCTAGCGGAAGGTTTCGGAAGGGTGAAAAAACATATATTTAATACTTGCGCCGGGTATTTAATGTTCGGCTCCGCCCGAACTTAGACTTTCTTACTTGTTTTTTTTAATTTTCAAAAATTTTTTAAACGGGATGTAGACATAGAATATGCTATATTTTTATAAAAAGTTAATGAATATTAAACAAACAAAAGGAAAACTGTACCTACTAAGTATTAAAAGGATGCGCTATTCAAATTCCAATTCCAATTTTAAACTTTAAGCATAAATCACATTTGCTTCATTGGTATTAATCTTTTAGTAATGAATATTTACAAAATTATAGTAAGGCATATTACATATTACTTTACATGAAATATAAACCTCTATAGAGCAAATTTTTTAGGCAAACTTTGGGTCGTTGAACACGAAAAAATACCCATGGTTTCAAAGAAGTGTTTTCGAGATTTGTTCAAAAAACGTATTTTTAGTANCACTACGCTCGCTTTATGGTGCCATAATAATAATAATGCCATTCTTTTTTATTAACTGATAACACAAAAGTCTGCTAAGTAAGATTTGTTTAGAAAATTTGAAACTAGCGTCAATTGGGAGTAGTTGAGGCCAAAGGGCGCAGAAAAAAACTATTTTTAAAAATTAGTTTTTTTATTGTTAATTATTTTCCAAACTAAAAAATCCATTCAAAACAAAAAGCAGTTTATTTGCACAAATAATAGCATTTTAATTTTAAATCAAGCACACATATGTACGCATGTAATTACTTATCACACTTAGAAGCCACCGGCGCACTTAACACAAATCTAGCCGTTAGCGTGCGGCCATCGTCGTCGACTATGGTCTTAATAAGTTCACCATTTTGTGCATCTAAATCCGCCACTGAAATGCCAATTTTGGCTAAAAACTCAACAATTGCGCTCTTTCCAGTTCTTGTCTTTGGAGCGCAGATCTTTGGTGCGCTAGCTGAAGCTGGGGTAGCCGAATCCACTGGATGTATTAGCAATGGGTTTAATGTGACAGCTCCTTCTACGTCTTCAAGTTCCGGGTGCAATGGTTCGCGATCACGTACCAACGACTTACGCGTCGTTGTAGTTGTTGAGCTTTCATCCAATGGAACAGCTGAAAAAGGCGTGAAATCGACGCCAAAATGGCTAGCGCTATGGTGTTTACTAAGTTGGGGAGCATCGAGAAATGAAGGTATCTCGATTGGATTTTGTGCGGCGTACGGACTGTCACGGAAAGACGAGACGTGGTAAGGTTTGACATGCGTAAGCGGCTCAAAGCTATTGACACCGTAGGTTGGACGCACGCGATATGTTGTCGTCACTATGCGGCCATCCGGTTCCGTGCGCGTCTTTGTTATCGTGTGACCATTCGAGTTGCTGATATCTTCAGGCCGGATGCCAGCGCGCTTCAATATATCCAACATGTTGGGATCTAAATCAGCTGATGATGGTGGGTGATTGCTGTTGAATGTTTTGGTGAGGGTACGCACTTTGGTAAGTTCAACGCGTGGATCATCTAAATCGGGAGTGGGCGGTATATTGTCTATCTTGAGCGTTTTTATGGGCTTCTGTTCGCCAGCATTTGGTCCGAGTGGATGCAAGAATTGTTCATCCGCAGGCTTGTTTATGTTAAGCACGGCAACGGGTTGTAAATCCTCGATGTTGATAGTCTTCACAGGTTGCGGTGTAGTGGACGTTGTTGCGGCTGATGATGGGAGCAGCGGTGGCGCGTCATTGCTTGGATTATATTGTGATTTGAGAAACTCTTCCAAGCTGCGTAGTGTTGTCGTTTCTTTGGGTTGGAAGTTTGAAGAAATTTTTACCGTCTTGCGCTTCCACTCGTTCGGTCCCGTCGTGTAGCTGGTGTGCACTGTGTTACCATCTTTGTCGGTATGGGTGTTGGTGAAGGTGTTTGTTTCATCGGTAGGCACCGGAGGATCTTCGAAATTCCAATCATCATCGAATGCCCCAAAAGCGGGTAATTCAGGCGGACTGAAGGGATCATCCTTGTCCCACGAATCACTGTGCCATGTGTTTGGTAGCTGTGTATTGTGTTTGAACAGTGGCGCACCGCCGCCGCCGAAATTATCATCAGCTGCAGGTGTAGGACGCCTGGCAGCAGATGGTGATGCCCAAACTGGTCTTCCTGCTGGCTGGTTTGGTTTGTTTGCTTGAGTGGGTTGCTGCGGCGCTCTCAATACTGGAGTCTCCGCGCTTGGTTTATCATCTTCTGCCCACTCCCAATCGCTAAGCTTATTCGGATTCTGCTTTGCTTGCTGCTGCTTTATAATTTCCTCGAACCTACGTTCCACATCTGCCAAATCGATATCTTCCACCTTCTTGCAAACAATGCTGCCATCCGGTTCCAGCGTATAAATGCTCGTATGCTTACGCCCATTCTCAATATTCGTACGCTTCACAGGTTGGCCTGTGCTCATTAGTTGACGCACAGCGAGCAGCTCCAGCTCCTTCGAATGCTTCGCCTGCTCTAGCAGCTGCTCGGGGCTAACATTCTTGCCACCGATGCGCAATGTTGTCACTTGAGGTTTAATGCGTAATGTGATGCCATTGCGAGAGAATGTCTGAAAGCCGTCATCCGCAGCACCCGCTGCGGAGCTGAAATCCTCATCTGCCTCGTGCGTTGTCCATGTTTTCGTGTGCTTCTCGCCATCAGCGTCGATCTCGGTACGGCGATGCAATACAGTGCGTGCTGTTACCAACTGAAAGCAAGTTGTTTTTACAATCTGCTCAAAAACTACCCTAAATATTTTTCCCATACCTGTAGCATTAACACCAGCCAAATTATACTTATAAAACTATGTTTGCTTCTCATTTTTGTTCTGTTCACTTCGAGCTCTTAAATTAGACTGCTGGTTTCACGCATTCAATGTCCCGAAACACCCAATTATTTGTTAATTCTGATGACACANGCCATACCTTTAGCGTTAACACCAGCCAAATTATACTTATGAAACTATGTTTGCTTCTCATTTTTGTTCTGTTCACTTCGAGCTCTTAAATTAGACTGCTCGTTTGGCGCATTCAATGTCCCGAAACACCCAATTATTTGTTAATTCTGATGACACAGTTTGTTTACTCATAATTGGCTGGAAGAAGCTATGTTTTCTTTTCGCTCACTCAAAGATGAGATAAGCACTTCCAGTGTCAAGCCGAGATTTGACCAGACCGGGGTTATCACTGTTTTGCGGCCAAATAATGATTTGTTGATGCTTATATTTGTGTAGAAAATAAAACAAAATCATAGAAAATATTCTAACTCTAAACCCAGGGGTGGCGGTATTTGGGGGACTGTTTAACTATTCGTGAGCGAGAAAAGATTATAATGATTTCAGATTATATTAGATAGATGCTTAAGGTACTTTTAACTGGAAATAAATCTTTTTTTTTTTGCTTTTACTATTATCTACTTAACATTTCCTACTCTCTTCTANAGAAAAGATTATAATGATTTCAGATTATATTAGGTAGATGCTTAAGGTACTTTTAACTGGAAATAAACTTTTTTTTTGCTTTTACTATTATCTACTTAACATTTCCTACTCTCTTCTAATACTTTTCTTAAGCTATTTAAGTGTACACGGTAGAGAAAAAACGCGAGATTTAGACAAAAATCTCGCTAGATACGTGTAAACACTCAATAGAGCTCTACGAGAGACTCACCTACAAAGTCTATGTGAGAGTTATTTAGCGAGACTTTTTCGTCCGTTGTACACAGTCCAACATTTTGTGAGTCCAAAAGTACACATAGTACCGAAGAGAGAGGTTGCCATGTTTAATTTTTAGGTACATTTGTCTACTTTTAGGTACATTTTTGCGAAAATGTATTTTATCACGTCAGAAAATATGTGAATGCTGTCAAATCGACGAAGGGCTAGCGCTCCGCTGATGGCGCCAACTATATTTTCTACATCGTGGCTTTGATATAAATACATATATACATACAACAAGCGTTGACAACANGCGCTCCGCTGATGGCGCCAACTATATTTTCTACATCGTGGCTTTGATATAAATTTATATATACATACAACAAACGTTGACAACAATTCGAGATATAAAACTAACTCTAGGCGAGAGGTAACTATTGTCTATCGTGTACACAGCTTGTAGAGTACGTGATAGATAAAAGTTGAGATTTCTCTATTTTGTCTCTAGCTAGAGTCAATATCTCCTAGAGTTGCTCTACCGTGTAAACTTAATTGATAGAGGAGATTTTTATTTCAGTAAAACTCTCGAGAGATTTCTCTATCGCTTAGCTTTATAGTAGCTAGAAGCGTATGGAAACACCAGGCCCCAAAAGTAAGAATACCATATCGGTATTATTTTTATAGTAAAGTGAGCTATCTTTTCACTACAGACGAAATTATACAGCGGTGTAATTCTAGATGCAATTGTGCCTGTGTAAAAAAATTATGTAACGCCAGATGTCGCTTTGGTCGAAATTATTCCACAGATCGACTTCAGCGCCATTTAACGGGAAAATACTCACCTTCTGCACTGCGTGATAGCTGCAACCATCTTTTCAGCACAACTCAAAATAAAAAATTTATTGGTTTTTATAGGTAAAGCGAATTTCTTTTAAGCGGGAGAATTTACTTTGCTCTGGACTCAAAAGATGAACTGGCCGTGGATACTTCAGAAGTTGAAAAGGTGGATTCTTTTACCTGCGAACCGTATGTTAGGCCCGTATATTTCAACACTGGCAGGTGGAGAAGTGTCTCCTTAGCAAGGAGTGTCCTTCGTGCAACTGAATATTTTTTTCTTGTTAAAGGCTCATTCCATGTAAAAGAGGACAACGACATATATTTTACTATGCCCTAATTTTATCTCCTTTTCAGTAGTAACTTCTTTTTATGTGACTACACTTTATTAATCTGATGAAGTCCGATAAGCTAGAGGCTCGAAACTTCAAACATAGCTCAGAACCTGATAAAAACGAAACACGAAAAATGAATTGGTCCGCTAGGTGGCGCAGGAGTTTATAATTGGACAATCGGTATTTNATACATTTTAAAATGCCCTAATTATATCCTTTTCATTAGTAACTTCTTTTTATGTGACTACACTTTATTAATCTGATGAAGTCCGATAAGCTAGAGGCTCGAAACTTCAAACATAGCTCAGAACCTGATAAAAACGAAACACGAAAAATGAATTGGTCCGCTAGGTGGCGCAGGAGTTTATAATTGGACAATCGGTATTTATGGTCCGATTTGGCTCATATTTAAAATGCACATTAGATACATACATGAAAAGGAATAACTCCACAATTCCGATAGGTGGCGGGGTGGATTGTTCTTGCTTTTTATCAACCACTTATAAAATCTTGTTTAAATNTGGTCCGATTTGGCTCATATTTAAAATGCACATTAGATACATACATGAAAAGGAATAACTCCACAATTCCGATAGGTGGCGAGGTGGATTGTTCTTGCTTTTTATCAACCACTTATAAAATCTTGTTTAAATTTTTGTATTTAATTACTCATTTAAAATTGAAAATAAAGGTTTTTCCTACCAAGTTTTTGCAATGAATATCTTACGTAAATCTGACCCCAGTTTGAAGCTGAGTGCGTTCGTTATTTCATTAATGCACAGTCTATATTTTCGAGGACCACTTTAGGTCAACAGCTTCCTTCCCAACTTACGAAAAGATCATCTTTGATGACTNGTGCGTTCGCTTGAGGACAAAATCTGGCTCTTCGTGTTTTAGGTAACTTCTTTCTATAGAAAGTTTAACCGTTAATGAGAGTATAAAATTGTCATCACTTCGTTGCATACAAATTATCGTGAGCGTTCCTCATTCGCTCCTTGCCCCTGGCCTATTCTCAAATCACATAGTTCCAATCCCCAGTTTGAAGCTGAGTGCGTTCGTTATTTCATTAATGCACAGTCTATATTTTCGAGGACCACTTTAGGTCAACAGCTTCCTTCCCAACTTACGAAAAGATCATCTTTGATGACTTGCTGTGAGTACCCGGAAATAGTTTATTTATTAATTTGCAACACCCCCATTCTTTATTTATTTCTTCTACGTCTCTGTGTACTACGATAGACACTTCTGTGAGTTACTTATCATGAACATTAGGCATATGACTTTTTTTCGAAAATTAAATATACTATATACCTATGAAGAGAGGATGAGGAATGATGAAAAAACCAACGAAAATAACGTTATTGTCGAATATTTTGTTAAAAAAAAAACTCCGCAAACAAATTGTTTACTGCAAAAAAAAACCATACAGATATGTAGATATGTATGTTTGTACATATATGGAAAATTCAGTGTCGAATTATGACTGCGATCAAAAATGGGTTTCTAAAACGTTTTATTATTCCGTTTTACTTGGAATTTTCCATATTCATATACATATGTATGTAAGTATATGCTTTTTATGATATTTTTATACATATGTTATACTGGAAAAGTACATACAGTGACTCAAACAAGTGACTCTGATTTTTTTTTAATATTCTCAATTCTCATTTTGTCCAAACTTTAACCAAAATCATAGATTAAAACTACACAAAATTTAGGAAAACTCAATGTATTGTCGCCAAAATTTCAAACTTTTTATTCTGAATCTGTAGAACAGTTTTGGGTATGCAGTTTTATAGCCCATACATTTTTTTGAAATTTTGTTGTGAACGCATTTTACAAATTCATGCCTTTATAGAATAAAGTGCAAAAACCCGTAAAAAAAATTATCGAAACAGGTTGACGTGTTCCAAACATATGCCGTAACATACATAAAAAAAATAACTTGTTTGAGTTAACGGATGATAAAAAAATTTAGAAACAAAATTTTGATCAAAAGTTATTTTTGTTGGTTTTTCAACATTTCTCATCCCCGCCTCATAGGTATCTATGTATGTATATAATTAATTTTAGAAAACGTCATATGCCTAATGTACGTGTATNTTGCAAAAACCCGTAAAAAAAATTATCGAAACAGGTTGACGTGGTCCAAACATATGCCGTAACATACATAAAAAAAATAACTTGTTTGAGTTAACGGATAATAAAAAAATTTAGAAACAAAATTTTGACCAAAAGTTATTTTTGTTGGTTTTTCAACATTTCTCATCCCCGCCTCATAGGTATCTATGTATATAATTAATTTTAGAAAACGTCATATGCCTAATGTACGTGTATACTTATGTTTAGATTTCGGTATAAGTATATTCGATTGTAATGTTAGATTGAGTACCGGAAATCAAAGCTATGACTAACCAAAATATCCCAAAAACAATCTGGCATTTTTTTTTATTTATTCATTTGTTTACGTGCCGCAATATTTATTTGCGCAATTAAGAGATTTTTTCTTAGCGCTCAACATCTTACCTACTCTCTCACTAAATCTTTCGCTTAAATAATTAAAATATTTCATCATTTATGATTCAGCTGCTAGAAACCGGTATGAGTTTCTTGTAATCCAGTAACTATGACTCAATAATTTGAAATACATAAGAAACATCGCTAACGAGTTTTTGCTATTAGCCATCGTTTGCAGAGTNATTTATTCATTTGTTTACGTGCCGCAATATTTTTTCTTAGCGCTCAACATCTTACCTACTCTCTCACTAAATCTTTCGCTTAAATAATTACAATATTTCATCATTTATGATTCAGCTGCTAGAAACCGGTATGAGTTTCTTGTAATCCAGTAACTATGACTCAATAATTTGAAATAAGAAACATCGCTAACGAGTTTTTGCTATTAGCCATCGTTTGCAGAGTGAGTAAAGCATAGCTTTGAGCGTCCAAGATTTATTTGTTGGTTTTTAATGGTTTGAAGGTTAAGATATTTTTCATCCTATTTGTTATTTAAAAATCAAAATATTTA